TATATATATATATATTCATACATAATGTACTACATATATGTATATAAATATAAATATATATATATATATATACATATGCCATGTGTGTATATATATATATATATTATGCATATACAGTGGGGCTTAGGGCTTAGGGTTCAGGGCTAGGGTGAGGCTCGGACTTTATGGCCACGCGCTTCTTCACATTGAAGCCTTGGCCGAGCCACGGGCTAGGGTTTAGGGTTTAGGGTTTAGGGTTTAGGGTTTAGGGTTTAGGGTTTAGGGTTCAGGGTTTAGGGTTCTGGGTTCTAGGGTTCAGGGTTCTAGGGTTTAGGGTTTTGGGTTGCGGGTTGGGGTTGGGGGCTTGAGGGGCAGAGATCTGCTGTCCGGATGCGCTGAAACCCTAAAGCCTAAACCCTAAACCCTAAACCCTAAACGCTAAACCCTAAACCTCCTAACCGGTATATGTCCGAAGAAACAGTCCTTGTTGCATAAAATCGGCCCTCAATCGCCACGAGACCCCACATGTCTAAACCCGAACCAGGAGAATCCATGTGGGCTTAGGGTTTGTGGAATGCCCTCAACCCTAACCCTAAACCCTAAACCCTAAGCCCTAAACCCTAACCCCACAGTCCTAAGCCCTCAACCTTTCCCTAAACCCTAAACCCTAAACACCCTAAACCCTTACTAAACCCTAAACCCTAAATCCTAAACCCTAAACACCCTACACCCTACACCCTAAACCCCCTTGCATGAGCAATGGTTGCGACCAGGCTTCGGTGCTTGACAGCAAAGACCTTCCCAAGCAGAAGCTGGAGGGGCTCAGGGTTTGGGATGCGAGTTTAGGGTTTAGGGTTTAGGGCTTAGGGTTTAGGGTTTAGGGTTCAGGGCTAGGGTTTAGGTAGGGCTTAGGGTTTTCAAAATTCGGGGCCCTTCGGGTAACCTAAACCCTAAACCCTAAACCCTAAACCCTAAACAGAAATTCGGAAGGTTGCCCAGATAGCTTCCGGTCACATCGCCAAGATGACGACAGTTGGAGCAATTGTCATACCAAGAAGCTAAACGACAAATTCTCAACACCTGAACCCTAAACCCTACACCCTACACCCTATACCCTAAACCCTAAACCCAAACCCTAAACCTTAAACTAAACCCTAAACCCTAAACCCTGAACCCTAAACCCTAAACCCTAAACCCCATACCCAAAACCCAAAACCCAGATTAGCGTTTCTTCGGGCTTCACAGGGTCGAGGGGCTTGGTGCTGTTGACGGCTGCGATGAAGATTGACGGCCGCATGCTGTGGAGATTAGCTACTTGGTACCCCAGCAACCCTCTTATAATAAGGGCACCCTTTTTTGGCTGGCTAATTTATAAGGGAACCCAGAACCAAAAAAAAAGGGTAAAGGGTACCACTGGGCAACCAAGGCCAACCCCGAACCTATTCACAATCATGGCCGGCGCTGCCAGTTATGTATATGCACAGTGAAACATGCCACCAGTGACAATAGGCTTGGTTTCGGGCTGTTATAGTTCTTCTGTGCACCCTAAACCCTAAACCCTAAACCCTAAACCCTAAACCCTAAACCCTAAACCCTACACCCTAAACCCTAAACCCTAAACCCTAAACCCTAAACCCTAAACCCTAAACCCTAGCCCTAAACCCTAAACCCTAAACCCTAAACCCTAGCCCTAAACCCTAAACCCTCTCACCTCTCCGTAGGAGCCGCCGCCCAAGGACTTCCGCTGGTCCCAGGCATACACGGCGCCGACATCTCCTTGCCGACATGCCTGGAGGGACTGGGGTTTAGGGTTTAGGGTTTAGGGGTTTGGGGTTTAGGGTTTAGGGTTTGGGGTTTGGGGTTTAGGGTTTAGGGTTTGGGGTTTGGGGTTTAGGGTTTGGGGTTTAAGGCTTGGGGTTTAGGGTTTAGGATTTTGGATTTGGGGTTTAGGGTTTCGGGTTTGGGGTTTGGTTTGGGTTTGGCGTGAAGTCCTCAAGCCTTGAACCCCCCCCCCCCCCCCCCCCCCCCCACCCCCCAACAAAAAAAGAAACAATAAAATATTAAAAAATAGAAAAAAAAACTGAAGACCTGAACCCTCAACCTCACCCAAGCCTACTTGAAATATGTGCACACCTTTTTTTGTGAGGCTAGAAGCTTTCTTACAACCCCACTTAGTAAGTTCAAGCTAAGATCCTAAACCCCCCAAAAGCCTGAAACGCACTCGGAATCTTGGAGGTCTTTAGCATGGTTTCAGGTGTTTATGGTGAAGCTTGGTAGGTGGGTCTATACAGTAGAGATCGCAAAGGGTTTTAGAGGCCACACGAGAGGTGTCCGGGCCGGCAACAGTCCCCCAAGACCCGACCCTAAACCCTAAACCAAAAACCTCAACCCTCAACCCTATAACCCTAAACCCGAAACCCAAAACCCAAAACCCCAAACCCGAAACCCTAAACCCTAAACCCTAGACCCCTAACCCTAGACCCCTAACCCTAAGCCCGGAACCAGCGGCCTGGAAGGCTTTTCGGTTCACCACTTTGGACGCCCGTGGCCGGCCAGATGCCTGATCTGCTCAGCAGCCCCGATGTTGTAATTCTCAGGGGGGGGGGGGGGGGGGGGGGAGGAGGGGTTTAGGGTGTTCGGTTTAGGGTGTTCGGTTTAGGGTTTAGGGTTAGGGTTTTGGAATTGCCCCTCCCCCCCTCCCCCCGCCCCCTCCCCCACCCCCCCCCCCGCCACAAGTGGCTGCCAGTTGGTTTTCGGGTTTTGGGGCTGATTGGAGTTTTAGGTAGTGGTGGTGGTGGTGGTGTTGCCAGTCAGCAGGCGCGGACCGGGCAGTGGGTGGAGGCAGGGGAGCCTCCTAGGGCTCTTGGCAAGAGGGTTCTAGGCTTTTGGGCTTTCGGGGTGTTGAGTTGACTATACAGAAGATCTGGGCTTGGAGCTGCTAAGCAGTTTGGAGATCCAGAGCTTAGGGTTTTTGGGGGTTAGGGTTTAGGGTTTACCATTGAAAGCGATAGCTCCTTTCGGCTGGTGAGGTGTGGAATGCCCTGCCTGCGGGCCTGCCACTCAGTGATCGCACCAACGTCATGCACAACATTGTTAAACTCCTTCGTGTCCGACAGCTTGGAAACCTCAACCCTACAGGTTGGCCAAGAAGCCTTGCCAGGAGACATTGAAGGTACCGGGACTGCACTTGTGGCACTTGGCACCTCCTTCGCTTGCCCCGTCTTGTCTCCAGCAGCCTGCGCGCGCATCAGGAACCGGCTTGGGTCACACCAAACAGCCCTCATCCAAAGCTTTCCGTCGACAAACCCCTTGTGGGTCTAGAAGACCCCAAACGTTTCATCGTCCACAGATCATCCTATACCAGTTACCCCAAGTCTCAAAGCACGCAGATGAGACCAACTTTCTGGCTAAAAGTCAACAATAACACCGACTTCGGGTCGTGTCCTGACAGTACCAGGATCACACGACTCAAACCCTAAACCCTCCCCATTTGCGGTACAAAAAACGTCCTAGAAGTTCGCAAGCTGCCACCGGGCCTTGTTGGTGGCGGGAGCAGCTCGGGGGGTATCGAAGTGGATCTTGACCTGGGTGATTCAAGGGGTTTAGGGTTTAGGGCTTAGGCTTTAGGGTTTAGGGTTAGGGTTTAAAGTTTGGGGTTTAGGGACCTTGACCCGAAACATCCACAGATTACAGGCTGAGAATACCTCGAATGACGCTTGACTCCACCTAGGTTTATCTAGATAGTGCGTGACCTCTAGGCAATGTTGAGGGGACGTGAGGGTACAGATGAAGGGCTCCCTAAGCGTCTGTACTCTACTTGGTAGGTCCCGGCAAGGATTCGGGGGTTCAGCAAAAAAACTTCGAGCCTGAAAGCCACTCTGCTTAAGGTCTTTGGCTGCAGGCTATCGGGTAGAGCTGTCGGGTGCGTCTGTTTCGCTGCCTCGTCCACCCAGTCTGTCCCTCTCCGTCAGGCCATTCATTCGAGAACCCTAAACCCTAAATCCTAAACCCTAAACCCTGAACCCTAAACCCTAAACCCGAAACCCTAAACCCTAAACCCGAAACCCTAAACCCTAAACCCTAGACCAAGTCCCGCCTCTCTCGGCGACGCCAGCGAGGGCTTGGACGGGTCGCTGGGCGTCCGTAGCGAAGCGGCAGGCGGTGACTGCAGACCGGCGCCTCCGTCTCAAAACAAGAGTTAAGGAGACCTTGTTTGTTTTTTATTCGCGTTAGTTACGACGTTTAGGATGCGATGTCCTTCTATATCCTACATATATATGTATATATACATGTATATAATTGTACATAGGACGTGGCAGCTAGAAAATACAAAGCAGTCACCTTTCAAACATCGCCCCCTTGAACTGACAAGCACTAGGGTCACTAGGAAACCAAAAACAAACACCAACAACTATCTGTCTATCTCTCTCTCTCTCTCTGTCACGCGCTCTCTCTCTCTCTCTCTCTCTTTCTCTCTCCCTCTGCTCGCCCAAGACCCTCTCACCCTCTCACCCACTCACCCACTAACGCACTCATGCACTCGCCCACTCACGCACTCTCCCACGCACTCCCTCACTCACTCACTCACATGCCCACCCCACCCACGCTCGCACGCATTTTTCTTCCGTGGGTATGAGGGTTCAGGGCCGACACCGCGGTCGCGCAGCCGATGCTAAGGGTGCTTCTGTATTCCTAAGGGCTTTAACATTCTCTCTTTCTAATTCGTTATCTTGCTCTTTCTCTCTGTAACTCTCCCTCCTTCCCAGTCTCTCTCTCTCTCTCTCTCTGCGCCTCCCTCTATCTACATATAGACAGCCATGAAAATTCGAAACGCTACCGAGCAACTCTCGGCCGCAGCATTGGGCACTGGCACCTCGACAGCTGGCAAACATTGCCAGGCGTGAGGGCCCCTAAACCCTAAACTCTAAACCCTGTACGAAACCCTAAACCCTGTAACCCTATAAACTCTATAAACCCTGCAAAACCTAAACCCCAAATCCTACAAACCACACTAAACCCTAAACCTAGGTGCTGCTTCTTGGTGTTTCTTTTGTGCTTCAGCTTTGTACCCTAAACCCTAAACCCTAAACCCTAAACCCTAAACCCTAAACCCTAAACCCTAAACCCTAAACCCTAAACCCTAAACCCTAAACCCTAACTGAGGTTCGTGGAGGATCCAAGAGGTTCCAGGGATGATGGAAAGCCTTGTACTGGAGAGCGCGGCTTGAGCGGTTTAGGGTCGTTTAGCATTTGGGGGCTTAGGGTTCTAGGGGGTTTAGGGTTTAGGGTTTAGGGTCCAGTGTAGAGTTTTGGGGCATTTGGGGGGCTGTAGGCTTTAGGCCTCGCCTCTCATTTGTATGGCTTTAGGCCATGGTCGATCCGGTCGGAGTATCTTTGGGGACGGGCCTCTGTGAGTGCACGAATGTAATGAACGTTGGGGCCAGGTGGGGCTCAATACCTTCAATACCTTCTATGAACCTTTCAAATCTGAACCGTGTTACTGTCAACAACGAAGTCTACCTATACAAGAATGCGTGAGGAACTAGCAGGGAATACTCCCAAGTAAGGTAGCGATCACACCACAAAACACGAGGCCCCAAATTGTAGGACAGGGGAATACCTACCCAACCAGCCCCCAGACTGGAACTGGCCAAAAGAACTAGTAGCTTGGGATGTTCCCCCTTATACTAACAGTCCTTAGGTTGGGATTATAGTCGGGGGTACTATAATCCCTACTAAAGAATGCTAGTATAAGGGGGAACATCCCAACTACTAACTCTCACAGGTCCCCCCCCTGGAAGCCGATGTCGAAATATTTCAAGCCCTAGCTCGTAAACCCAACCTCCAGAAACCCTAAACCCTAAGCCCTAAAACACAAATGAGGAGATGAGGCGCGAGGGAGTTCAGCAAATCTTCACCCCCGCGTCGCAACGGCGCGCTGGATGTGGCCTCAAGAACTGTATGGCTGCAGGCGTTCAGGCTGCCTCCATAGGCCCTCAACATATATGTATATGAGCATATGATGCTACGTGTAAGGTTTGGGGTTTAGGGTTGAAAGCCCCCTCCCCCCTCCCGTCCTCCCCTAAACCCTAAACCCTAAACCCTGAACCCTGAACCCTGAAACCTAAACCCTGAACCCGAAGCCCTAAGCCCTAGGCCCTGAGCCCTAAGCCCTAAACCCTAAGCCCTAAGCCCTAAATTACTAAACCCTAAACCCTAAACCCTAAACCCTAAACCCTAAACCCTAAACCCTAAACCCTAAACCCAAGCACTTGAGAATTGCAACGCCCCACGCGCAATTTAGCCATCCGAGCCGCTTCTGCGGCTTCCTCTTTGGTGTCTTGCCTCCACGAGAACTTTTCGGGATTAGGGGGGGTGGGGGTTTTGTGTGTGTGTGTGTGTGTGTTTTTTGGCTTTATTGGGTCTTGTGGGTTTGTTTGTTGGGTTTTAGGGTTTTCTGTTGGGTTTTAGGGGTTGTTCTTGGGATTTGGTTGTCTAATTTCATGGGCCGTTAGTATGGTCCTTTACCTCTTGAAAGGGTTCGGAGGTATGGGCCCTTAAATTGTAGGAGTCTGTTCGGGATATTAAAGGGGTCCCCCTTTAAGGGCCCACACTAGGCACCAAGTAACTACCCTAAGATATTGAGTTGCTTCAGGTGCTTTAGGGGGTTTTTAGAGGTTTTTATTGAGTTGCTTGAGGTTGTTTTGGGGTTGATAGGGTTTCGGGTGGCCGCTTAGTTTAGGGTTCAGGATTTAGGGTACATACTCCGAAATCAACATCCTCGAGTCAGAAATTGGGAATGTCCGAAAAGCCCTTTGGTATTTCGGAAATCAGGCGCAAGACTTTTTGGTAGTGGAAACACCAGAAAGTACCACCAACTCTTGTCATACATATATATATATATATATATAAATATATTTCTGTATATGTATATGTATGTGTATATGCGTGGTGGGTGCGTCCAGAATAAAGTTTGGGATAGCTATGGGACCCTGTCATGGGACAGAAGGAGATGAGTCCGACCTGGTCTTTAAAAAGGGTACCCTAAGCCCAGACTTCCGACCCCAAATGCATCAAGGACCCTGAAAGCAGCGGAAAAGCTGCCAACTGAATTGGGGTTTAGGGTTTAGGGTTTCGGGTTTAGGGTCTAGGTTTCAGGGTGTAGGGTGTAGGTGTAGGGCCCACCCAGAATAGCCTCTGAATCAGAGTAGGCAGGGTAGGATACCTGGCCGGCTGACAGAATGCTTCGGCTTAGGCTCAGGGCCGAACTTAGGGGCCTTGGTGTGCATGGCCCCATACGCTGCAATAAACCCTAAACCCTAAACCCTAAACCCTAAACTACCCCAAACCCCAGCCTAAGGTGTGGTAGGTAGGTCCAGGATGCTCCAGACGCCCGAAGGTTTGTCCCTTAAAACCCCCTGCAAAAGACTCCAGTGCCTTCACCAAAACGCAAAGAACCCATCCCCAAACCGTTCCGATGAACTTTGGGTTCTGATGCACTAGAAAGTTCATGAGATTAGTTTAGGGTTTACGGTTACGCAGCAGGAGCCAGCAAGACCTGGAGTTCCTCAGGACAATCCGTGTGGATTGAACAGCCCTGAGCCCCGCAGGCCTTTTGGGTTTAGGGTTTCGGGTTTACGGTTTACCACTTAGTCTTCTTGGGCCTCACCCTATAAACCCGCCCGCCAGACCCTATACGCCCTGAATTCAGGGGGGGAGGCCTGCGGACGGTCTGGCTGCCAGAAGCTCCAGCAAGTATCCTTGGCTTCCGCAAGTAGGTCCCTTGCGTGGTATCAAGCCCCAGAGCCAGGTACCCATTTTTGTTTACTGTTTAGCAACACCCTAACCCTAAACCCCAAATTCAAACCCTGAACAAACACGCTTCATCAAGGGTGGCTTGGGATCTAACCCCATTTACCCCAAAGCAAGTCTCTGTCCCGCCGCGGACAGGGGCCGCTTGCTCAGCAACACCCCGGGATCTCCAGTCCACGGGCGCTGTCCATTCCGCATTTGCAGGGAGCATGGAAGCACTGCCGGAGGGGGCGCTTTAAAACGTTAGGCCTTAAAGGCAGGTCGAGGGATGCTTAGGGTTTCAGGGTTTAGGGGTTTAGGGCTTCGGGCTTTAGGGGTTTTTGAGTTTTCGGGGGTTTGGGTTTAGGGTGCATCCGGGCCACGGGCCTTGTGGAGCTTAAAGAGACAAGGTGTTCTGTTCCAGTCAGCTGCCTTCCCACATCAGCGTGCAAGTCTTCGAAGGCCAACATGTTCTTTGGACCCGAACACCGCAAAGCAGTGCAGTAGGGTTTAGGGTTTAGGGTTTAGGGTTTAGGGTTTAGGGTTTAGGGTTTAGGGTTTAGGGTTTAGGGTTTAGGGTAGGTTACAACGGCTTACCTCCAAATTCACAAGTCTACTGGCTTCCTGTGCTGAGCCGATTGCGGGCTAAAGGCGAGGTCGGCTTGGCTTATAGCGCAGAGGGTGCACCTAGGACCTCTGATTCTGGAATTCGTGTGCCAGCATACCAAATACCCTACTTTGGAGTAGACCCTGGAAAAAAGACACGTTTTAGCTACAAGTAGATGCAATAGGGGCCCAGAACCAAAAACATGTACTAAAGACCCAGAATACAGCACTTTTTAGCTACAAGTAGCTGCAATAGGGGCCCAGAAGCAAAAACATGTATTAAAGACCCAGAATACAGCTTTCGAATGCACAGGTCCATAAGGGCCTATATGGGGACACTCTCGACACATGGAACTAGGCGTAAGGGTGTGGCAGATTTCGGCTGTCAGGTTGCAACTCGGAACTCCCCACCTTGCATGTCGCGCAACAGCTGCAGTGCAGCTGGCCAGTCCTGTGCCTAAGAGACGGCCAAGGGGTTTAGGGTTTATACAGGGTTTAGGGTTTAGGATTTAGGGTTTTGGAGCACAGCAGATGTTATGAAAATACATCAGGTCTTGCACACTCACGAGGTTGGCCCTTAAATCTTACCTGGAAATACAACATATACCAGGGTTCATAAGGGTTGAGGTTTAAGGTCACATCATCCGTCTGAGGAAGATGCGCGCCCGCATGCGCCGATGGCTGCTGAGTATGTAGGAGGTACCCGTGGGATCTGCTGGTCCTCCTCAGGAACAACTAGACCCAGGAGTAACCTAGGAATAAAGGGTACTAAGGGAACCCCAACCCTAAAGAAAGGAATAAGGGCCTACTCCGGGTCCTAGACAACTGTGCAAGCCACAAGGGATTGAAGCTTGACGTTGTTTTTTAGCTGTATGATTTTTTGGTTGAGGATGTCAGGTGTTGAATGAGGACCGACTTAAGTTTGGGTTGTGGGCGTAGAGCTTAGACTCATGGAATCCAGGCCCTAGCAAAAGCAGCGAGAAACTTGCCTCAAGTGGGTAGGACACTCAGTGTCGAGGCCAAGCATGCTTTCCACACTGAGCGTAAGGTTTTCGAGCCAGCGCACTCATCCAAAGCCCCCACCCACGTCCAGCACAGCAATTCCCGGAACAAGGCTCTGGAACAACCGAACCTCCGAACGCAAAACTGCGAAAGCCCCTAGACTTGGCCCCAACCCCCTAATTCCTGACCCTCAGTTGAATCCTAAACTCTCAAGACCGCCCAAACCTGTAAACCCTCAACCCAAGCTAAGAACACATGCTGTCAACAAGGGGGCGCACCATGACAGCCAAGAGCCGATGTACCGCCCTGGAGGTTTGCGCACCTCGCGCACCCGGAAGGTGGCACTTAGTGTTTAGGATCTGCCAGAACTTGCCAAAGGTTTCAGGTTTTTCTTCTTTTTAACTAGGCTCACAAGTGAGCCCAGTTTTGAGGGTTTAGGGTTGAGGGGTTAGGGTTACACTTCAAGCTGAGGGTTTAGGGTCTTTATTATTTGGAAGATATCCTGCGGGGTTTGGGAAAGGGTTAATAGTATAGGCAGTGTAGGGCTTGTGGGAGTTTGGGGATCACCTAGGATAACCTCTATGCCCTCGGGACAGCGAAATGACACTCACTAGAGGTCGGCAAATACGTCTTGCTTCCCCTATATAAGCCCCAAACCATAAAGCACAGGCTCTCCGCCGCCACTAGCCAAACCTGCCCAGAGGGCGGCTAGATGTGCTTGGGCCTTGAGTGTTCAGATACGATTGATACGATTTGATGTAATGGTAGCAGCTGCAATACACTTAGGGCACCACCAGGCGACCAGCACACTGAGAACTGACCATCTAGGAATATTTTCAGGTCTCTTACTCGAAAGATAATTTCCAAGCTCTGCTTGGGCCGACAAAATCAGCCAATGTATGCCCTTGTAAACCATGAAAAAGTATCATAAAGCTGATAGGCTATGGCATGGGCCCCCTAAAATTCACATGGGTCAAAGGCTGCCCTATTTTTAGCCTGAACCCTGAATCCCTAAACCCCTAAACCCTAACCATCCAAACCCCCCCAAAACCTCTAAACCCTAAACCTCTAAGACCCCCTAAGACCCGACCCCTGAAGCCCTAAAAAAAGCCCCCAAAAAAAAATTCGCTAGCAGCCGAAAAAACAGCTCCTGGGGACGCTGCGGCGTATCGTGGCGTTAAAGAGCCAGACCCCCATGGTACCATCTTCGCTGCAGCCAAGGACCTCCCAGTTTCCGCGAGGGACATCCAGTGCACACAGCCCTGCCTTTCCCCACAGTAGGGGATAGGAGTAGGGGGACCCTCGGGGATATAGACCCTCTGAATAAGGTCCCCGCTGAAGATCCTACCTAGGACACAACGGCGCCTCGTCGATGATTCCCTGCAGCGCACCCTCAGCGGTGGAACGAGCCGAGTCTGCCCAGAAGGCCGTCGTGCCTTCGGCAGCTTGCGGATGGGTTTAGGGTTTAGGGTTGAGGGTTTAGTGGGGTTTGGGGTTTAGGGTTGAGGGTTTAGGTGCCTCTAGGATATAGGGCTGACTGTGGGCTGACTGGTGAGGCTTTCTGAGTAAGGCTCTGTGGTGAAAGGGCCTAAAATCACCATGGGCTTTGGATTCGGGGTTTAGGGGGGAAAGCCCAGGCTTCATGCTGATTATCACTGATTTGCTGGTCGATAGCGTTTTGGGTATCCCCAAAAGTCCGCCTGCCAGGATGGGTAATCCTTTATAGCGATTAAAGGACCCCCAATTACAATCCCTATGAAGGACTCTTATTCTATAAAGGAAAAAACATCCCAACCTACAATCCCTTAAACAAAGGCCCTCTGTACGGTTGACTGTGGGGATTATGAGGCCCAATCGCCCATCCTTGTAAGCTCCATATTTATTCACGAGCCCCTCAGATGGGGAACAGGACAGAGCAGCGAAGCAGCAGCCGCGTCTCATGGACTGAGGCGTGACCCAAATGAGGGACCGCAGCTGTGTGGGTTCTTTTGGGGAGCTTATAGCCCTCTTTAGAGTAGACCCTGCAAAAAATGTATATCCTGTTTAGAAATAAGTAGCTATAATAGCAACCCAGAACCAAAAAAATAGTATTCAAGTATAGTACTCCAAAAGCCCAGATAAGCATAGTGCGCATGTCGCCTGCTATTTCCAGAGCTGCGGCCCGCAGTGACTCGCGCTCCGGCTGGAGACCTCAGGTTTAGGGTGTAGGGTTTAGGGTTTAGGGTTTTGGGTTTAGGGTTTAGGGTTTAGGGTGTTTAGGGTTTAGGGTTTGGGTTTAGGGTTTAGGGTCCAGGGAGACTGAATACAAAGCCCAATGCAACCCTAACCCCCCTGACCCTAACTTTACAAACTTCTCTACGATAGATACGGGGCCCTTGGGGTTGACAAAAATTGGGGCACCAGATCTTGAGCTGCGACCTCGGCCGCAAACCGACTGATGCGACAAGCCGAAGCCCTCAGCCCCAAACCTGAACCCCAAGCCGCAAAAAACGAGAACCGCATCTGAAGCCCGACACTCTCGCAATGTCAAGTAAGTTCGCCAAGCTCCCAAACAAGATCCAAAGAAGTCCTAGCCCGAAGCCCGTTCAGGGTTGGGAGGTTTGGGGTTGAGGGTTTACCTGGGTCGCCGAACCCGTGGTTCATTATTGGTTGTGTTGGGTCCGCACGTAATTGAAGGACATGGGCCTTGTTGCCCAACTGACGCCCGTAAATCCTTAAAAGTCCTATAAGCGAGGCGATACTCACGCCAGTTATTTTCAACTTCCTCACTCACGCCCACAAATTCCAGAAAAAAAAAACACCGCCCGTAGATCGCACCCCTTCTTGGCCGCCGGCGCTTGATCCAAAGCTCCTTGAGCCTGACAAGTCCGACAGGCAGCGGTGCGGCCCCAAACCCCAACGACATCCCTGAAACCTCAGAAACCCTAAGCCCAAACTTGGGATGTTCCCCCTTATACTACCAGTCCTTCATCAGGATTGAAGTATCCCCCTACTCTAATCCCTGTTAAGGACTGTTGGTATAGTTATTTGGGGGGACATCCCAACTCTAAACCCGCAATACGCAAAGCAAGGATTTAGGGTTTGGGGTTTAGCAACCTCTCTCACCCTAAACCCAAAAGCCAAGTCGTGTTCGGACGATCGGCTGGTGAGGGCTCTATGTGCACTGAGCAGGCAGACCTCCTTCTCAGCCTTCGCGGTTTAGTGTTCACATCCCGAGTTGTCTTTTGGATTCCGGGTTGCAAAACCCAACTTTGATCCGCCAAACGTTTCAAATTCCCATGTTCCCACAGTTCAGGCTGCGGCATCGCCAGGGCTCCACGTCGATCCGCAAAGCCGGCCGCATCGTCCCCTCCTGTGAGCTCACCCTAAACCCTAAAGCCTGGACCCTAAACCCTAAAGGCCCTAAACCCTAAAGCCTGAACCCGAAACCCTAAACTGCTCGAAGGTAGTGACACGCAGGATTACAAGTAGCGGGAAATCGCAGATATAGCTTCAGTACTAGCTCCAGTCAGGTACAAAACGCTAGGCTTTTTGCCTACCCGCCCTCAAGTGTGATCGTACCAGAAGGAAGGCCCATGAAACTTCGCCCGCAGTCCCCTCTCAGCCTAAGGCGCAAATGGCTTGCTGTTCCCGACTGTCCTTGAACATGCGCCACGGCGGCTGCATAGCAAATCGCGTCTGGCTCAACCTGCACTACATACACACGACACTGATTCTGCAAAATGCACAATAAAGAGAGCCATGGACTCACCTGAATCCCTGCCACAAGGGAGGCGCAAGTGCGCAGTATGTCGAGGGACATACCCAGCATAAATGGCAATGTGCGGTAAAGTCTCCACTCCAAAGAGTACTCATGTTGCCTTGCTTGAAGTTTCATGGGTCATTTCACCAATTGGGGTACATGAGTAGGCACCCCTATACCCTGAACCCTGGACCCCTGTAACCCTTGCTTAGGGTTTAGGGTTTAGGGTTTAGGGTTTAGGGTTTAGGGTTTAGGGTTTAGGGGTTAGGGTTTAGGGCTTAAAAGCACACAGCTTGAAGCTCTGGACTAGCGACTAGCGGTTTCCTGCCTCTTGTCGCGCCATGCTCCGCAACAAGCCCATGGCCACCTCCCACTCGCTGCCTAGTCGGGAGGGAGGGTTTAGGGTTTGGGGTTTGGGGTTTAGGGTTTAGGGTTTAGGGTTTAGGGTTTAGGGTTTAGGGTTTAGGGTTTACGGTTTAGGGTTTAGGCTTGGGGCAGTTTAGGGCCTAGGCTTTTCAGAGTTTGAGGGGTTCAGGATTTGAAGGGGTTTGAGGTTTTGGGGGGGGGGGGGGGGGTGTGAGAGTGTAAGGGTTTATGATTTAGGGTTTAAGGGTCTATGGTTTAGGGTCTAGGGCTTAAGGTTTAGGGTTAGCGGGTAGTTTAGCCGTCTGTCTAGGGCTTAGGCTTAGGGTCGGGCTTCAGGGCTTAAGAGTTAGGGCTTAGGGTTCATGGGTGGTTATAAGTAGGGCAATACGTCTGGTAACTATACTTACCACCGTGCTACATATTTTATGTTTATGAATCTCCAAGCAGGGCTTAGGATTCAAAGCTTCGGGAAGCTCAGGTGGTTGGCAGGGCGCGCGGCCTTTGGAACAGGCCGAGATCACCGTGGTGAACCTGAGAGAACAGCTCAAAAAAACAAGGCCCTTACCCTAAGCCCTATAAACCCCAAACCCGAAACCCCATAAACCCAATGACTATAAACCCTATAAGCCCCATAGACCCCATAAAGCCTGTAAAGCCTATGTACCCCATACACTCTATACACTCTATAAACCCTATACACCCCATAAACCCTATAAACCCTATAAACCCCTATAAACCCCTATAAACCCTATAAACCCTATAAACCACATAAACCCTCTAAACCCTACAAGCCCTATAAACCCTACAAACCCTATAAACCCTATAAACCCCATAAACCCTAAACCCCCCACCCTCCCTCTAGGGGCCCCAGGATGTACACTTGGCACAGTTGGCCATTGCTGTCTCTAGCATGTGCGACTTAGGCTTTGCTCCAAAACTCAATCTGATTTGAATCCTAACTTCGAACCAACCAAAACCGACAACCTTAGTCTCCAATGTTCGGTATTTAATGGTATTTCGAGCTCAGGGTTGAGGGTTTACGGAGGTTAGGCGCCATCTCAACCCTACCCTTATAGATTCTAATCCCTACTTGCAGGGTTAGACGTGCAAAGCTTTCGACAAGTGGCAACTCCCGAGTTGGCCGCCCAGCAGCCCGCCACCTCACATTGGCGGAGGGGGTGGGCTGGGCTGGGTGGGGGGGAGCTTCGACGTGCCAAAACAATAAAGAAGCCGTAAACCATGAACCTTCAAGTTAAACCTCCAGGGGCGCACTGAGGCTTGCCTGCCGAACGGCAGAGGTCGGTTTGTTGACAACGACCCGTCCCAAACACCCCAAAACACTCTAAACTTCCCAACCAAAACTCCCTAAACACCCTAACCTCCCAACAAGAATCCCTAGACACCCTAAACCTCCCAACAAAAAACCCCAAACACCCTAATTAAACTTCCTAAGCCGCTCTAACTTCTGCAGGCTCGGCTCCGGGCATCCCGTCCAGCAGCGACAAGGCCTGCATCCAAGCGCTTTGGCGGGGTGAGCTGAACCGTACCTCTAGAGAGCAATGTGTCCCAACCCTAAACCCTGATCTTCGAAAGAAACACTTATTTGCTTAAGAAACCCCCCCCCCCCCCCCCCCCCCAAAAAAAAAAAAAAAACGAAATTTTCGTCTTGATGAGGGCAAAAATATGGATTATCATCTGTTATTTTTTAGGGGGGGTTTCTTAAGCAAAGAGTAGTAAAACCCTCAAAGCCCTAAACCCTAAACCCCCCTACCTCCAGAGCAACCTGTATAATAAGGCTTGGCGGCTTAGGGGTTTGGAGGGTTTCGGGTTCGAACTGCCTAAAACCCTTGGCAACTTGGGGCACTTCAGGGTTTAGGGTTAGGGTTTAGGGTTTAGGGTTTAGGGTTTAGGGTTTAGGGTTTAGGGTTTAGGGTTTAGGGTTTAGGGTTTAGGGTTTAGGGTTTAGGGTTTAGGGTTCAGGGTTTAGGGTTTAGGGTACTTCCAGCAAGTGACAAAGACCCCTCCGGAAGGTGGTGATGTCAGGCCGCGGAACCCTAAGCCCCAAACCCCAATCCTAACGTCTAAGCCCTATAGTTTAGGGTTTAGGGTTTAGGGTTTAGGGTTTAGGGTTTAGGGTTTAGGGTTTAGGGTTTAGGGTTTAGTGGCCGTGAGGTCACAGGTTGGAGGACGCCAAAGTTCGGGACATGCGCGACTGAGTTCGTCAGGTTGCACTAGACCCCTATAGGGTTTAGGGTTTAGGGAGGCCAGTGAGGGGCTTATGGGACTATTAGGTAACCCAGGAATAACAAGGGTGTCCTTGTTGGTCTTGAAGGGGCTTAAAAGGGAACCTGAACCCAAGGAAAGAGAATAGTGGCCTACCCTGGGTTCGAGTGTAAGATTCTAGGAGTTCGGGCCGTATGGTTCATTCAGGGTGCTCTTGGCATCCTTTCCTGAAGAGATAGTAGACTTTCAAGTGCAGTGCAATTCCTGAACCCGAAATCTCAAATGTGGCAGCTGACATTTGGCCTCGGCCCACTGTGCCTGCAAGGAAAGGCCGCTTGAGCTTCCTAAACCCTAAACCCTAATCCTTGCAGACCCCTCCTGTCTTAGGGTTGAGAGCGGTTTGGAAAAGCTTGGGAGTTATAACTCTCTGCAAGACTTAGTGTTGAGGCCTTCGGCTTGTAAAGCTGAATGCTTCTAAGGACAGAAGGCTTATTATGGGGCTCAGGGCTGTTCTGGCTTAGAATTAAGGTTTAAAGGTCAGGCAGTCGGGTTTAGGGTTTAGGGTTTAGGGGGCTATGCCAGCTCGCTTGACGCGTCAGGCAACATGAAAATCACATGGTCAGGGAGACTGTTGCCAGCAGGCGCGAGGAACGACGATGGAGCTAACCCTAAACCCTAAACCCTAAACCCTACAATCCTAACCCAACATCCACCTTAAGAAACACAGGTCTGCCTGTTTCTCACAAGCCTGCGCTGCCAATGTCAGGCTGCCTCGGCAACATCTCCAAAGAGTTCAGTTCAGGGTTTAGGGTTTAGGGTTTAGGGTAGGTTTCTCAAATGTTCTTATTTGAGGGTGTTTTTGACTATAGGATCATGCTGTGTAAGGCTTTTTTAAACCCTAGACCCTAAACCCTTCTCACTAAACCCTACTTAAAGGATCAGGGGACTTAGTAAGTGGGGTTATAAGTAAGGTAACTATACTTCTACTTACTTATAATCCCAATGTCTACTGCTTACTGGTTCGTCGTAGGGAATGACGGAATTAGGTACCTTATATCCCCTACATGTGCTCGTATGCCCTTTAAGGGGGCATTTAGGGTACCTAGCTCCCCCATTCCCTACTAAGACCCAGTAGGTCCGGGCCAGGAGCAAGGTGATTTTCCATAGTATTGTGTGCTCGGGTTTAAGGTGAAGGGTTTGGGATACGAGGTTTAGAGATTAGGGCTTATTCAACAAGATTGGATTTTGGGTGGGGCTTGGGGTTTGGGTCTACGTTTAGGTTTAGGTGGGGACTCCCCCATTGCAATAGAGGTAGTAGTGGCAGCACCCGCGGTTGAGGGCTTAGGGTTTAGGGTTTAGGGTCCCGAGGGTTTAGGGTTGAGGGTTTAGGGTTGAGGGTTTGTGTTGGTGGCCGACAGTCGGAACAAGCAGGACCTCGGTACCTGGATACAACATTGACAACTTGAGAGCGCCATGCACGTAGACAAGCTCAAATTGGCTCAACATGCAAGCTATACAAATACTGGTATCAACCTTGAACCCCAAACCCCAAACCCTAAACCCTAAACAGTAAACCCATAATTTAGCCCCGGCATGACCGAACAGACTCCATTGGTAAACTCTCTGTCAACTCGCTGAATTTGCGTCGGCGCGAGCGCTCTGCATGACCCATGCATGACCGATGAGCGAAACCCTGCGGACCAAATGAACCCTAAAACTGAGTCATACACCCGTATACGCCGGAAGCTTGTTTTCATCCCTATTGACTTTAAACTGGAAACCCTAAACCCTAAACCCTAAAACCCTAAACCCTGAACCCTAACGCTGAACATTTCTTGACAGTCTTGCGTACCGCGTCTCCAAGCTTGGAAAGATTTTGGTGCCTGGCTCTTCGGTCGGGCTCTGGCCGTACGCGCCGAGGGCTCCGTGCTATCCGTCGAGCAGTTTTAGGGTTTAGGGTTGAGGGTTTAGGGTTTTGGGTTTAGGGTTTAGGGTTTGGGGTTTGGGGTTTGGGGTTTAGGGTTGAGGGCACATCGTGGAGGGGGATGTTGATTAAGTATTTGGGCAGTCGTCATGAAATGAAATACACTGATTCGTGAAATTTGAGTGCACGCATGATATTGGTGCCTGTTTAGGCTCGTTCATTGAAGGCGTTGTTGTGGCTGGGCTGTCGCAGGTCAGCGCTAAGTCATACGAAAGCAGCTTCAACAAACAAAAGCACTTAGCAGACTTTGGACCTTGGATGCTTCCCCTTCTACGAACAGTCCTTCATAGGGATTAAAGTACCCCGAAGAATCCCAAAAAAAGACTGTTACTGTTTGTATACAGGGGAACATGCCAACTTTGGCTTTATTGGATCTCCCACTCCTCCACGGGTTATCCCACCCTGTGCACAAAGTCGGGCGCATCCTTGTTGCTTCTTCAAGCTTGGCCAGTGGTGGCTTCACTGGACTTCGGCCAGGAGCCCTAAACCCTCCAAACCCTTTAAACCCTCTAAACCCTCCAAACCCTCTAAACCCTAAATACCCTCTCAACCCTCTAAACCCTCGAAACCCGCCAAACCCTCCAAACCCTCCAAACCCTCTAAACCCTCTAAATCCTCTAAACCCTCCAAACCCTAACACTGAACCTAAGGACGTAATATAGGGGCCTTAATCACTAGAATAGGGTTTTGGAGGTTATTATCGTATATTTATAAAGGTATCACAAGGAAATACTATTAGAAATTGCTCACCCTAACCCTCAACCCTAAACTCTAAACCCTAAGCCGAACCCTGAAACCTAAGGACGTCGAATCGCATCCTGGCCGGTAGCAGGATTTAGGGTTTAGGGTTTAGGGATTAGGATTTAGGATCTCCGTTTCTGCCTTGAACGTGCTGCTTCGGGGCAGTGAAGCCCCGAGCTCCGAAATCCACCAAAGCCACATGAGGATGCAGGGTTTAGGGTTTAGGGCGTTTAGGGCTTAGGGCTTAAGAACTTCAGGGGAAGGAGGGAAAATAGTAGCGCTTCTAGGTGACCGAAGTGAGAGCCAAATCTTGCAACGATGACCTGAACCCCTATGAGTCACGCTGCCCCGACATCCGTGCGGTTTAAGTTTTAGATGGGCTTTGGGTTTAGGTTTCAGGGTTAAGGGTTGAAGGGTAAGACATGTTGGGGCTAGATGGGTTTAGGGTTTAGGCTTCATGGTTTCGGGTTTAGGGTTAAGACATGTTGGGGCTAGATGGGTTTGGGGTTTAGGGTTAAGACATGTTGGGGCTAGATGGGTTTAGGGTTTAGGGTTAAAACATGTTGGGGCTAGATGGGTTTAGGGTTTAGGGTTGAGGGCATAAGGTTTAGGGTCTAGGGTTTAGGGTTTAGGGTTGAGACATGTTGGGGCCCAGGCCAGCGGTAGCTTGCAGCTGTGCCCCTGGGAGCCTAGCTAGGCAGCTTGGCTTAGGGTTTAGGGTTTAGGGTTTAGGGTTTAGGGTTTAGGGTTTAGGGTTTAGGGTTTAGGGTTTAGGGTTTAGGGTTTAGGGTTTAGGGTTTAGGGTTTAGGGTTTCGGGTTTGGGGTTTAGGGTTTAGGGTTTAGGGTTTAGGGTTTGGGGCTTGGGGTTTGGGGTTTGGGGTTTGGGGTTTGGGGTTTTCTGATTTGAAGTTGTCGGACTCGGACCGGCAGGGCAAACCTTCTCGGCCTATGACGAAGATCAAGTACCGTCATGTCCGCATTGGCCGCGACAATTACTTGTTCGCCACAACTGGGAGCTTACAAAAATGAAGGACCCCCAATATATCCCCGAATAGTAGGACCCCCTTCCAAAAAAGACCCCAATAAGGTAGCCTAATTGAGGAAGCCCCCAACTGAGTCCTTCGCATCAGTTTTTGCTGGAGTGGCGCGGGGCTCACCTTTCACCAATTTAGCCTCAACATCCTCTGAACACAACCTTCTCTGGACCCGCCCCCGCAGCCTTGAAACCCTTCTTCCGCAAGCCAAAGCTGAACCCCTAAACCCTAAGCCCTAAACCTTAAACCTGAAACCCTGAACCCTGAACCCTAAACCCTAAACCCTAAACCCTAATCCCTGATCCCTAAACCCTAACCCTAAACCCTAATCCCTAAGCCCTTCCCTGGGCCTCTGAAGCAACTCGAGAGCCAGGAGCCAGTGGCCTCCGGAGGCACCTTGGTTCTAAGGTTGCACCTAAAGGGTTCTGGGTTTAGGGTTTAGGGTTTAGTGTTTCGGGTTTAGGATTTCAGGTGTACTGTTTCGGGTTTATGGTTTTGGGTTTCGGAGAAGGTTGCACCTGAAAGGTTCTC